TCTGGGAGCTGCCGCTGCAGGATTCTATGGTGGAGAACAGGTTGTGAAGACATGGCAGGGTATGGGGCTCTCTCAATTATTGTCACATATTTCAAGTCTCTAGAAAGGGGAATGGGCGCTTGTTCAGGCAGAGGTGCTTGCACAGCATTTTACGGTAGTACTTTATTGTAATGTAGCTTAACTGTACTTTTTTCGGTGAAACGCATTGGGCCATAAGCATTTTACTTCTGAGTAGTTTTTAAAGCGTACTTAGAGCACAGAATATTCACAAGCAGCCAACAATGCTGTATGTCAGTCAGCGGCAGATCTAGGGACCTCCTTCAAAGAGGGGGGGTGGGGACTATTTGTTGGTAAATATGAAGTACATCGTTGGTAAAAAGTTGGTAAAAATGAAGTATATCGCACTGCGAGAGAGCCATAAACATAACATGTCATGTTTCAGGAAATTTTATTCAGCTATGTCGCGAAAAATACGGAAAGTAATGTTTCAAAAATTGTATTTACTCGCATAATCAACCCCCCCCCCCCCCCCCACCTTGGTCCTAGGAAAAAAAATATATTATATAATAATATATCTGTTCATTTTATTTGGGTACATAGGCAGTGCCGTTGACAATCGAAACTGCGTGGAATCAAGTCATTAAATCACAAATTAACGATGCATTAAAAGTCGAAACAGCTTCGCAGCCATGTTAAACAGTTGCAGCGCCAGCCCGGACGACGTCAATCAAAATTTAAAAGTCGTGCTTTTTGCGGCAGAGCGCCACCTGTCGAATGCAGAAGAAACCTCCCTGCTTATAGGGCCACGCAAGCACAGCGGCACGAAAACGAAGCAAAAAGCATAGCGCATGGCCTCTAAGATGGCGGGCGCATGGCGTAGAAACACGCCACGCGCCCGCCATCTTGGAGGTCATATAAAGCGTAACCGTACTGACGACTCTTTGTCCGCAACCTTTGTGCGCCACTATCGAATGCTGCATTTCTGTTGTCAGGTTTGTCGTAGTGAACATAGTTGAACACCTGCTGCGCAGAGCTCCTTCGGCCAGTACGCTAGTTGCAAGGCTAGTTTTAAACTTAAAGGGGTACTGACACAAACTTTTGGGGCCGAGATAGCCGGAGGGGTTGATTCTCGTGAACATTCATGTATCATCTGCAAGATATTAACAATGAATATAGCTTGGAAGGTACTTTAAATTAATTTTGAAGTTTGCGTGAGCGACCGACTCTATAGCGCTATAGACACCCTCAGAAGGGACCTCGAGGTGACCCCTACTTCCCTCACGTCACCACGCTGCAGTCAACAAAACAAGTTATGATGACGTTATAGCCGCCATTTTTCTTTTGCAGCGTTCGTTCCCGAAGTCTACATTTTTCGGCGGCTGGTTGCAAGTGCGTGGCCCTGGCGCACGCGTAGAAAGTTTAGTCTTTGGCAACATTCCAGTCCCGTTTCCAATTCGAAAGTAATTCTTGATGCGGGCTATGTAGAAGTGCTTCACAGTTCTGTGCGCTGACGTGGTCAAGAGCTGCACACGCTGAATGGCGACAGTTGCACCCAGTTTATGGAACTCTCTCAAACCGAAACTGAAACTGAGTGATAATGAGGGACCTGTAAATAATTATCTGTCACGTGCTGCAGCAAATGATGTGTCGTGTCATGACTAACAGGCCCCCAGCAACGCATTGCAGCAAAAAAACACGAGGCCGAATTTCTTGTGTCAGTACACCTTTAAAGTTGGCCGAGCATGGGAACCGCATGGATAGACGACACTTGGACGTCGCCATCCGTGTGCGCCTGTTACGGTAGAAAACAAAAGGTTCAAGCTACAAAACGATTTGTCGTGCATTTGGCGGCCCAAAACAAGCAAAACCGTCATTCGAAATTTTCACTGTTATAACTCCCGTGATATTTTTCTGTCGTGTAATGAAACCTTCCCCCAAATCGGCAAGAACTTTTCTGAAAAAAAAAAAAAAAAAGGTGTGTTCATTACGCGAGTAAATACAGTATGCAATGTCAGGTGTGGAGATATTGGCATAAAATTCAAGGCTAACGCTTTTATTTTGATCTTATTGTCAATAAATATGTACATGATAGTGAAAATAACGATACAAGGGTTTCCGAGTAGAAATTATCAATCTAAATTGATTCATTGTTTCACTTCAATGCCACTTTAAGCTTTTAATTTTCAAGGTATTACATCCTCCTCTTTTCATCGCATGCAGCATGGTAAAGTGCGAATAGCTTGAAATGCGAGAAAAAGATACTGGTGTTCTTTAGAATGTACTCTGGTGAAACTTGTTTGAACGTGCAATAAATGTTTGGAAATGGAAAAATAATGCACTAAAGATTCTGCTGTAATTGGTAGGGCCAGGTAAAGTATTTCACCCAATATAAACAAATTGGAACAATCGTGCTTTCATTGCGAAAACTATCCAAGCTAACTGAGACAGAAATGTCACGTTACTTCTTGTTTCGTTCAACTGGAACATCAACATCAAGCAGCATTAAAGTGCAAAATAACAAAAGTGCCAATCAAGGTAAAAGACACAAAATTAAGGACATTTCGGCTCCCTAGACGGGAGCTTTGTTCACAATGACAGAAAACAGCAAAGTGCCAAAAACATCTTTTAAATTTTTGTATATTTTACCTTGGTCAGCATTTTTGTTATTTTGCACCATGTTTGTTTCCTACCAGACGGGATTCCGTCAGACTTTTGACTATACAAGGAGTATCAAGTCTCAGCTTCATCTAAGAAACTTCGGAAGCAAGTGTACATAAAACAAATTTAGTAATGATCAACTTATGTCACAAGACCTCCCATGGTAAAAGTTCTTTCTCCCGATATGATTCAGCTATCTCCTTCACTGATGTTTTCTTTTCCTCGTAGAACAAAGCAAATATCAGCTTCTTTTGCAACGTTCGAAATGCAGTCCAAAATGTTATATTGATGCAAAAATAACCCTAGCAATAACAGTAAAAACAAAAACAAATGCATTACAGCACGATATGAAATGTGTATCTTAAGCACTCGTTTTTGTCACGCACAGTGACTTAACAGCAGCTGTGGCAATAGAGAGATAAAATATCAGCTGCGGCGGCTGCATTTGTAATGAAGGCAAACCATAGAGGTGCCCTTGTATATTATGTATTAAGTGCATGCTAGAGTACCGGGAATGGTCAACATTAATCCGGGTTATCTCACTGCAGCATGCCTCATAGATTGTAGTTTTGGCGCGGAAACTGAATTCAGTTTCACAAACAAACTAAGATTTTATAGGATCCTGCAGCTTGTACAACTTTTGTTCTTTGTTTATTTTTATAGTATAAGCTTTTAATTAGGCGATTGTTGTAGAAACCTTTAATTGTGATTGCAAACATTTAGATGCTCTCGTCACTGACAGGTGGCTCCTAGCTTCATGCGTAGTGTGTTTTTATTGCAAAATTTGCATTGAAGCCATAGAGGTCATGAAATTTTTTTGGCTCCATGATCATGGGGAGGGGGGGTTGAAACCTTTGTAGCATCACAGCCAGGGGAGGGGGAGAGTGCTGATGCAGCTTGGGTGGGGACAAGGGCTGGTGTGGCTTGAAGAGGACAACTGCCCCTTTGGCATTCTCTTGCGGGCTTATGTGCTTGACTCACTGCAGCATCCATGCTTGGTAAAGGACTGAGTTCTGGCCTTTGTTTGTACTGCATTCATCGCTTTGCCCATTTGGCAATACTCACTTTTTTTTCAAACGGTGAGGTTGTCCAATTCATCAGCTGTGTATCCATGAATTACCATAAATCTGTTGACCCTAAATTATTCTAAACTTTATATCTCTGTAACCTATACAGTTTCTCTTGTAAGTCCCTAAGATCACTTCATATTATATACAGTGAAACTTTGATTATACATCTCCTGGTTTTGCGATAACCGGCATGTTACGGAGAATTTGTTTGGTCCCAAGAAAATCCCCATAGACACAATCTATAAAAAGCCTTGGTTATACGACACAATTTTATGCCAACACCGCATCTTACGATGACTTTCAGGTCCTGTCCGAGAGAAAAAACATTTACTCTAATCAAACATCGGCCAAATATTCACAAGTGCAAAATATGAACTAGTTTTCCCCTAGGCTGACAATTATAAAAGTGGAAATGGAGACAGAATATCTGTTGAGAACAGAAAATTTACTCTACTGGAAGTTAATGCACTTGTACTTATGCCTCAATCTTGCGCATACATATCCAAGGTCGTTACCCAGTCAAGCTTTATCGACACAAAGCAGCCTCAGCTGGTTGAATTCTGATATGTTCACGTTTTCGGTTCGAAGGAACTTTTTCTTGTCGTCAAAGATGTACAGCTGATCTCCTGCCTTTGTTGCACTCGCAGTCGCAGGCTTTCACGCATGTAACGACGCGATAAAGCTGTTTTCACCGTGAAAAATTACTTTCACTTCACGTCAACGTTTATAATAACAGCGAAACATCATTGGTTGCACTTCACAAGCCAACAAATTATAACGCGAACAGCTGAGTCGCGCACGATGGCAATCTATGCAAACTCGAGGTCCATTGCCATTGGGGATAGTGATGACACTGTGTCTGACTCTTCTGACGGGCGGCTGTTTCCAGCGCAGTTTTTGTTTCGTTTTGATGTGCATGCAATTTTCGGACTTAGTTTATTGGTAGAAAGACGGGCATTGGATTTTTTTAGAATAAAAATTTGATCGCGACTTCTCTAACTATTTAATGCTGCCACTGGCCGGAATAATTCAGTCTACCTTCCTTGCAGAGGCACAAGGTGCTGCCGTGGGCTTACTCAAGCAGTCTGTAGCCGTTTTTTTTGGGCAAGGCTGAGTTCCACTGCCTATAATCTTAGTTTTTCGATTATACGACGCCTGGATTATACGATGGTTTTATGTGGTCCTCTGAAAGCCATGTACTTGGGATTCCACTGCAGCTCTTTTGATGAAGTCTTGTTTATGAAAATTTGATGGTTTTTGTTTGATCTGCAGGCGGCTCTTGGAAACTACACTTTCCTGCCATTTACTGTGCTGCTGGGCTTCTTCTGGACATTCACGTACAAAAAAGTTCCAGAGACGAAGAACAGAACTTTTGAGGAAATCTCTGCCCTCTTCAGGAGGGATGATGTAGTCAGCATCAATGGGATGGGCACACGACGCAACTCTCTGGCACCTGGCCAGGATGCTGTGTATGAAGAAAAGCCAGAGACATGTAAGTTTTAGACACAGCGAATCGCAGTGATAGTATTGTTCATGTTGCATGACAACGATATCTATTTCTTCATAGGAAGTGATGGCAGCTATCATGGCTGCATGACCACCTTTGAAAATGCTCTGAAATGATTTTTCCTCTTTATCTTTATTCTGTTTTTGTTTGACTGTTCGACTGACGACTTTTCAGGCCAAAAAATTTATACTCGCATACTGCTGAATATAAGGAGATAAATATAAGTGACTGGATATTATTGTGTGTTTCTTCGACCGCCTATAGTGCCACATAGCATCCAAGACATGCCTTATGCCTCACACTCTACAGCATAGTGATTTATTTGCTTGTGAAGTTTTAAAGAGCTCTTTTGAGGGAGCTCTTTGAGGGAAATGTTTCACGTTTTCAAGATTTTTCGAACTTCATTCTGCAAGGAAAAAACACAAGATATTGCTTTAAAGGCATTATTTAAGCAATGTACTGTATTGTTTGAGAACATGCACATAAGCCAAAGTATTCTTTCAAATCAGTGCTTGTAGAAACCTCTATACAGAAGACGTAGTATCCGAGACCTCCAATCTGTTTAGAACAAATCAGAATTTAACAGCCTGTAGAATGCAAGTCATGATTGGCTCCATTGTGGTGCAGTAACAAATGGTGTGCCTAATAGTAGTGATCATGACTGCTGCAGCCTTTCTCACTGTAGGCATAATCATTGCACAAATCAATTAAATAGAAGCAAGATAGGAGAATGTGTGTTCATGTTTCATAATCGTGTTACTCTTGAATAGGAAGAATATATGTACTTGGATATTTAACTATCTTTTTGATGTCTTTTTGTTTGTGTGCTGTGCATATTGTAATGGAATACAGAGCAGGTCACTCTCGCACCTTGCTCTGCTAGCAAGGGTATGTCAGTGCATTTCTGCTGAAAAACTTTTTGCGTTTGATTTTCATTAAACGGCAGCTTTGCTTAAATTTGTAACAAGGATGTATAGTAATGAGAAACTACTGTGGAAATTCTTTGTCAGTATGCTAAGTCAAATTCCTATATCAGTTTTTGATTATACTTGACTTATCATTTTTTTTTCTTAACTGGAAGCTGTTAACATAGAAGCATAATTTCTTGAGCAGAAAACATGCATCTCCTTGTTCCTCCAGAGCAGGAAGTAAGGTCAAATGTATATTGAATGCTGAGCAAGAACAAAAAAGTAAGTTTTTTGCAGTGCATTTGTAAGTTTAGGCCAGCTATTGACGTGATCCTTTTTGTTGTGTTTCATTGGACAAAGCTCTAGGAACATTACAGTCATTTGTCATTTTGTACTTGTGAAGCTGTATAACGAAGAGTGTGTAATGGCAGACTTCAAATTTTGTAAAAACTACAGTGCAATCTGCAAGTGTGTGAAAAATGGGCACGCAATGTTAACCAATTCTGTGCTGTTAGAGTGGGGAGCATGTTTTTCACGCTATATTTTTATTAGTTAGCTTCATTAAAAGTATCATATCTTTTTTTTTGCTTGTGTCTGTTCATTTATTTATTTTCTGCTGCAAAAGTGGAAAATTTTTAACTTACACCGGAATAATCACATTTATTGGCTGTTTTATTTTTTATGAAACAATGTAGATATATATTTTTGTAATGCAACACATCTGCTAGTATTTTGGTTGTGATATTTTTTCAATTTTGAAATTTATTTTAGTGGGGATACCCTTCTTTTTCTGGATTCTTTTGCTATTGACTCATAAAGAGGGCCTAATTTTTTGTGATCAAATGAAATTTACAGTTTTTTTATTAGTGAAAATATGTGTCATAAGATATGATAAAAGTGTAACTATTTTGATCCATTAAATTTGTACTTAAGTTAATGAACTGGTTTTTCTATCTACTGTTTAACCTATAGAAGTTTACCCTAAGCAATAAATGCATTACAGACTACAGAAACAGTTGGTCACAATGCAGTCAAGTTCTTTTAGTTATTATTGATAGAAATAGTAGTTTTTGTGATATAACAAGTAAAGTAAATGAGTATATTTGCTTAAGACTTTTTTATGATGTTTTAAGATAAAGAAGCATTGCTGTCATGTGCAAAGCAGACAATTTACCTCTTTCCTACAAGTACTCAAATCTTTTTATTTGGTTACGAGGAAACGCAGTTAGCCTTCATCCATGAGAGTGAACACCAAATTGGGAGAATTGTATTGTATTTGCATATCATGAAAAAAAATTTATTTTGCTGCACCTAAGTGTGGTAAAAAAAAGCCTGCTTTCTATTTCTGGACGATTCACTCTCTTAGTTCACTGTTTTTATTGGGTCATTGTAGCATATTGAAGCTCCAGCTTTTAGGTGAGCACCTTTGTAACTTTTTTAGAAAACTCAAATGGCTGGTTCTTTTTTTTTTCTCACCTATTTGAAAAACCAAACGGGAATCAAAAGGAGCAATGCCTTTTAGTATACACTGCAAACTACATACATTAATAGTGAAGTGCGTGTGCTCAAATCGACATCAAGTTTTTTGTATAACAGAGGCATTAATGAGTGCAGTCACTTTCTACACTACCAATATTTCATATTTTGGGGGAGTAATCATAAGATGTTTGCAACGTTTGCGTGTTACTTGAATTTTTCTTTTCTACTATGTAATCGGAGCATTTTAGAAAAATTGTTTCAGGTCAGCATTACGGTCAATGTCTACTTTAATCACTTTATGCACCTAATGAGATATTATGCCTTGGCTTATAATTATGGGTTGTGAATCTCGAAACGAATAATGCTGAATTGTGGCCAAAGATATAGAATATCAAATGGTACATTTACATGAAACATGTACTGCCAGTAATGGCAAAGCAAGGGAAAAATCGGTGATACTATGACATACTGATAAGTTTATTATGCACTTGTTTGGCATAGTTCTTTTTTTTTAGCTCTGAATAGTGCAAAACATGTTGATAGAAAAGCCACCATTCTAGTGAGCAGCACTACTCCTAATGATTCAGGTGCGCATTAAAGAACCCCAGGTTGAAATTTCCGGAACCCTCCACTACGGGACCTCTCATAATCATATGGTGGTTTTGAGACGTTAAACCCCACATATCTATCAACCAAGCACTACTCCTAACCTTCAAACAATGAACTGAGGGAGTGCAGTAGCTTGTTTTTGTTTCCTTTATGGTCACGCAATATGGCTCATCCGAATACGACTGTGTTGTGCTTCATCGCCATGGGTGCTCGGGGCCCAAAAATTTTTTGACACTGGTTTACTACGGCATTTTAAATGCATGCCAAAGCGATGGGAGTTTTTGATCGAGTGGGGTGGTGCGGCAATAATCCTGTGTGACTGAACTATGCAAGAAGTCCGTGCCTTCATTTCGGAAGTGAAGTTGAGAAGGGCTCGACAGTTTTCTCACGCGTTTCTTCATGTGCTAGAATGATGTCGTCTTCTGATAAATAAACATGGGCTCACTTTTGATCCACGATATTGGTGAAAGTTTTAACGAGATCCCTACTGTACCAGTGTAACATTTTTAGCCACCCCACCATAATCAGGTTGCTCTATTGGCCTTTCTGGCATTTCAGATATTCGATCTGTCAACTTATTCGAAATTTCATATTCTAGGTATTCGTAAGTCGAATCATTCAGTTAGGTATTATTCAATTCAATTTCAAAACTCGAATATTTGCACACTCCTACTAATAAATACTTTTTATTACAAAAAATTATCTTGATTTATGCTCTTTGCTATACACTTGTGGTAATTTACTTACTTGGTAAATTATTTCATACAAATAGCCATTTAGCATTGCAGTAGCAGTGTGATTTATAGGGTAATTATTCAACACTTTAAAAGGGATTAAGTGGTGGAAGCTCAGTAATTTTGTAGTATGACACAATATCCACAGTTGCCTGTATGAAACAGTTGTAAAACTCTGCATACTAAAGATACATAAAATTCAATGCTGATGCATTATAAATACTTCCTGCAAAAAACAGTGTCTTTCTGACCACATATTGCTACCTTAGCATTGTTTTTTTTATGGGAAATTCTTATAATGCACAGCAGCACCAACTTGCACAAATTTGAGCTCTATATAAAAGCTAATGGTTTTGATCTCGCCTAACCTTTTCCAACCTCATATTTAATACACTAGAAGAACCAGATGTAGGGTTTGACCATGAAGAACTGGTGATAGGGAAGCACTGGCACATAAAATATGTGCTTGAAGCAATGAGATCCCCCCCCCCCTCCTATGTTAGTGTGCATGGGCACTGTTCAGCTCTATCTTTTATTTATTGTGCACATAGACTCCATGTTTTTGTAGAGGGCAAACATGCACTGCATTACTAGAGCTATTCAACAGCCACTCTTCAAGCTAGCTGTTTAAATGACCTTTTGTCTGGGTTACACTCGCAGGCACCTTATTTTACTGTTTATAATGGGCCTTTTTTCAGTCCAAAGAGCACCTCTAGCGGAGTTTGCCGAAATCAAAACTGGTGGCTCTTGGATTCCGAAACTGTGCACTGCATGCCGGTAGGAAATCTCGGAGGCTAGCGTTCGCGCCTCTCTTTGGGGCGAACATTTGCAGGTTTGCGGCACCAGATGTCACTTGGTCCGCACATGTTGTCAGGTTTTGGCCACCAAAAATTATGGTGCGTGCCCCTTCAAAGCCAGCGCGCATGCGCAGACTACATACGCGGAAAAGGCACATTGAAACATTTGCTGTCTTTTGTCATGCCATGACTGAATACTTAATATTTTTGTCATAGGAGCTAGTTATTCAAGCAGGCTATTATAGTAGATTCTTGTTTAATTTATACTGATGCATACAAGGAGAAAACGGAAATATGTCCTGTTGAACAGGAGTTTCGTTTACTGAGAGATGATCAGGGGTGCGAAATTCAAATAAAAAACCAATTCTGTGAGAGCCAGTTTGATTTAAGCAGTAATATTGTCTAAGATAGTTCCATATACTGAGAGGCTAAATTATTATAATTTTTCTGCTGAAGCAGAAGTGATTCGCGGCTTCTTGAAGTATACCTTCATTTCTTTCTCTCTGATATGTCTTTTCTGATCAAATCAAGGTCAGAATATTTTATTTTTGTGATATAGCAGTTGGATGTACAGTTATAAATAAAATGTTTATAAAATGATCACCATATCCTGTGTTTACATAAAATATTATTCTACCAATAGCCCAAATTTAAGTGGCCATGTTATAAGTTACTTCTTATCATACACTGTGCTTTCATATCTGAAATAAGTTTCAGCAGTTCAGATTTTATGGCAGAACATTCCTTCGTGAACATAGGATATGGTGATGGATATTGTGAGCAGGCCTTAGCACTTAGCAGAGCATGGGTTCTGAGACCACAAGCATATCATAGATAAGCTGCATGACTCGCTCTTTTGTAAGACTTGTGCCATTCCTTCATTCACAATTTATATGTAATATCATTTGATGTAACTCATTATTTGTGAAGCATTCAAGCTGTTTTATACTTATTAAACATTTACTTTAGTTTTCAGATTTCAACTGTTACATAACTTTCTTCTTATTATTGTCTTACTTTTTTCTGTTAATTTTTTTTTGTCATTTGCTGTTTCTTTCTAGTACTTAGTTGTGTCTTAGTGTTGCAGTTTTTTTGTAAGCTACCAGTGTTTTTTGGTCTAGCTATTTGTGAAGACAGCTTTCACTTACAAGCATTAATATTGTTTTCGCAAAAAATAATGTTAGTAGTGTTAGCAGTCCTGCAGCTCTACAGCTATACATAACTGGAGAAGTGATTTTATTGAAAAAAAGGCTGAAATATCTCCATTTTGTTCTGTTGTATAGAAAAAGTGGTTACAAGGCAATGCCATCGTGCAAGCATGAGCAAAATAATGTTTTGTTGATTGTTTTTGTCTATTCATGTTTTGTTTGACAAAGTGGTATATTTTATTGTTTTATGTTTTGATTCATGCTTAGAGAGAGCGTATTTCAATCTTTTTTTTGCATGAAATAAACAAATTTGATTTGTACGCTTTGTTTCTTTCTTTCTCAGCTACTTTTGCGTTTTTATTCACAGACGGAACATTCAGCGCATGAATTGCTGGCAGCACTGGTGCTCACTTGTATTCCAGAAACGAGGGCCTTTGGAAAGCAGTGTTATGTCATCTTTTCGAAGTGCATGTACAAGTTTATGCATGCATAGCTTATGCATAGGATACTTCATGCATAGGGGGGGGGGGGGTGCTTGAAAATGTTATTTTATATTGGGCTTTGAATCGTGTTTATAGACTGGCATTGAGGCAGTTTTTATTTTCACATCGGCGTGCAGTCTTAGTGCTTCAAATTGTATGATTTAATTTTTTACTATCTTTTTCACACTATCAAATATTGAAAGGAGCAACATTTCAAAGCACTTTAGCTTTTTTATTTATAGAAATGCCATAATTAAGGATAACTGCCATTCATGGGAAGCAAACAAAAAAATAGCTGTGGTAGTGTAGCATACTTAGTTTTCCAATGATTAGCTTTGTGTTTTCTGCGTTAAATTTTTCTAAGAAAATGCAGCTCCATTGCATATGATTCTGTGATGATTTCTTATAACCTAACATTCCATGGAATGTTCCATGCTGACCTGAAAGTTTCATGTGCAAAAATATTATTTGAGCCCTGTGTTCAATTTAGCTTTTATTTTTTTGATGTGTAAAACAAGCTATACTTATCGTTTGTGAGAAAGTACACTGATTTTTAAGGAAATATGAGTTGATTCTGTTAATTGGAAACAAAACGCTGACAAAATCAGTGGTGTGGGCTGCAGATTTCATTCAATGACTGAATCAATGAAGCAAGCATGCAATAGTGAATTAATACTTTAAAGCAAGGGTCGGCAACTTTTTTCAGACTAAGAGCCACTTTGCATGAAGCCTACACAGCGGGGGCCCTCAAGGAACTGGGGTGGGGGTAGGTGGGAGAGGGGTGGTGTTGGCAGCAAAAAGAGAAAAAGCTTGCGTGTTAGCAATACTGTGCAATACTGTAATATAAATCATCCTTATTTTCTGCACGCATGTCACAAAGTTGCAGTTGACAAACAGGTTACAAGTGCAAACACCATTTCAGGTAAAAAAAATGTGACATCAGCCTTCAGATAGGAAGTGACAATGGGGGGGGAGATGGGTTTGTGTTCTGATTGGGGGGGGGGGGGGGCTGCATATTACTTCCTTGCAAGCTGCAGGTTGCCAACCCCTGCTTTAAAGGGATTACTTGTCGCATGAGTATTGCACTATTTGTACCACAAGATATGTATTAAAAATAAAGATGCTTTATAATATAGTTGAATAATGAACTGGCTAAAGGGTTTATAAATGACAGGAAGTAAACTGTACAAAACTATTAATATATCCAATAGTGTGCTGATAAGCCTTTCACTGAGAATGTAGAAGTGCCACTGCTCTCTGTGTCATTTGGGACCTGATCACTCTTTTTATTGTCCCCTAATTGCATTGAGAGTGGGCATTCTTAAATGGGAACTTTTCGCATGCCTGTGTATACTGTCATAGCTGATTTCATCCAAAAAGCTTAGTTCACAAAGGAGTAGAGCCATTGGAAGCTGTTGCAGCCATTTTAGTCTTTTTTTCAAGCTGAAGTGGTTTACGTGCATTCAGGTGAGCGAATCGCATAGATTGTTGTACAAAGTACACTTTGATAATAGTCCGAAAGTGTTAACACTTGTTGGCTGTAGAAATGAATCCTTTTAAAGATGGCAAAACCTTTAAAAAACTTGAAAAAAAAAAACAGTATTTTTTTCTCTTGCTAATGATTCTGATGCTTTAATAAAGCAACATGGTGTGAAAAATTTTGTCACTTTCTATTATTGTCATCTGTTGCAATTTCAGGATCGATTTCACTCGATAAGTATAGGCTATCACAACAGCCATGTTTTCATTTTTCTTTAGTTTGAACGATTTATTGAAAACTAGATGTTTGCTGTTAAAAATAACTTTTGTACGCTGTAGTGAGGGTGGCTTTTGCTGCACACAAGTCTACTTGCCACTTTTTCCCAAGGAGAATTCTGAATTGATCCTGGTTGAAGAGGCTGAAGTCTCATATTCATGTTTTCAACATGAATTATTGATGTCGCCCATTGTTTTACTTGCTCTTCAATAGGTGTCCTTGAGATACAAATGCTCCTCACAGTATCTGATGCACAAAATATACAACTTACACACCATCTACAAGGAGTTTAAATTGTGTTCTGGCTTGCGCAAAAAACAAAACGAAACCGTGCTCATTGAACTGGCCTTTTCGTGCTCGAGAGGTTGAGCGAGACACGTGGTATTCGAGCACACATTGTCCAGCATGGATAGTCGCACTTTTCTATAAACAAGTCCAAGAGAAAAAGCGTGAATATTTCATTGAAGGCATGTACTATGCATTTTTATGTTCTACCTGCCGTGGCAGCTTCACAGGTAGGGTGAAGCTCTGCTGAGCCTGAGCACGTGGATTAGATTCCCGGCCACGTGGGCCCCATTTATAAGGGTGGAGAGTGAAGCAATATGACCATGAAAGGAAAAGGTCTAGAAAGGAGTGTCGCCCCGCCGCGGTGGTCTAGTAGCTAAGGTACTCGGCTGCTGACCCGCAGGTCGCGGGCTCAAATCCCGGCTGCGGCGGCTGCATTTCCGATGGAGGCAAAAATGTCGTAGGCCCATGTGCTCAGATTTGGGTGCACGTTAAAGAACCCCAGGTGGTCAAAATTTCCGGAGCCCTCCACTACGGTGTCTCTCGTAATCATATGGTGGTTTTGCGACGTTATACCCCACAAATCAATCAATTAGAAAGGAGTGTCACGTGATAACCTAGAAATCTAGTCAAACGATGAGAAAGGCTGTAGTCGCGCGAGGGCAAGCGCTACTATGGGTCGATTCGCTTTAGTTACGCCTGCCGCTGGCGCTGCGAGGAGCAAATCTGACCTCAAAGGGGTCCTCATATCCGTCAAGCATGAGCAGATCGAGTTTCAAGATATCTGTCGCACGCTAGAATTGTTCTCTTCTCTCGTTTTGAGTGCACTGAAAGTTAAGCAGGGAGGTATGTCCCGGGGGAAAGAAGTTGCGTGACGCGTGCTTCATGACCATGAGCACTTTTGCTTTTTTTTTTCCAAACGCGCGGCTTATACTTTCAGTGTAAGTGCGGGCATGTCGCGCCCTCCCGCGGCGACTGCAGTAATTAGGCAGCTCACGATGCTCAAATAAGCCAATGGCCTTGAAATTTGAGTATGTGGCATCGTTCGAAGAAGGGGAAGATTTTTGTTGACTGAGAATCAGTTGTAAATTTTTCGCCGCGTGCTGCGTTGCGTTTGGTTCGGGTGTTCTCCGGAGCCTCGACTACCGATCGCCTTACTTTCTGGCCATACGAAAAAAGTGTTGCAGGACTCTTTATAAGGCACCACTGGGCCTTAGAGAGTGGTACAGGCGGCGTTCGAGGCAGTTGGCTTGCCGAGGCTAGTGGAATTGCATTACGTTTACAGTTGTTTTCTTGCTTCATGAGGAAAGCATTTGAAGCTGCTGCAGCACCGATTACAGTGCTGTCATTGGTCGAGCTGCAGCATTGACTCCGTGATTTGCGGTGTTGTGCGTTTTTCTGCATCGAAGATATCAAAGGTACAGTGTAACGAATGGCTAGCATGCGAGACAAAGGCCATCACGAATTCCTTGTCGCCGCAACTGCAGTCTTTAGCGATGCAAACTGAAAGGGACATCAAGCAGAACAAAATATATTCCGTGTGTATTATGCCAGTAGCATCGAAAACACCCTTCCCCATCGAGAAGACGCTTGTGCAGACAAAAAAAGGTAGAGGGAGAGTAGAGTAGCCATGACACCTTCAAATTTCTACACATGCTCACCTTGACGAAATAAATTTTCACTGTGTCTACTAGGTGATGAGCAATTATTTATTGATAAAAACGGACTTAATCATGTTCAAAAGGAGGCAAAGACACAATCTGGTAAGTTTTGTTCACTGTAATTGAGCAGACGTGGCAATATATTATTAAAATATGCTGCCAGTCGTGGTGTCATACTTATGTATGAAGCTGTTGGAGTTTTATCGCAAAATTCAATTAAATAAGTTTTTAATCTCATTTGTACTTTTATTCCAAACATATGATTGCTGTATTAACGAATATATAATTTGGAAAATCATTTAAAATTCTATCTAACAAAACCTGTTACGGATAGTTTTGTCGCGGCTTCCTCGCTCAGCCTGCATGGTCGCGCATTCACTACATTCGTTTGCTGTGGTTTCGCATGTCATAGCCTGCCGCAGCTGCACATGTCCTGACCCTCGAGCTGCCCTGGCGGGTTTTTGACGTGCGCAGGCGTGGGTACATGGCAAAAACAATGCTGTAGCATTTAGGTGTCGCTATGCATTGCAATTTCAGATAGGACAGTAAAGTATCTTTCTCGATTTTACAAACTTCCCAATTTAACAAAATGATTCGCACGGGGTCGCCACTTCGTTAATTCAAGTTTTAACAAATAGTTAGCCAGTCCCAAATTATATATTGTTCCTAAAGATTGATAGTAGAAATGCTTGAGTGGGTAGTCTAGGGCATTTTTCAACACAAAGGTGTTTTATTCTGGGGTCCACCACGGCTCCGCTGATGTACTTCCGTCACGGAAGTGACGTTGAAAAGTATATACTAAGATATTGCGCAGAAAAAAAAAACAAGGCAGCATCTCGCGTGGAATAGAATTAGCAGCCTCTCGATGCTCAGCGCGCGGCATTAACCACTACGTCACGAGGCGTATGCCATGCCGTGTGCTAACAGCAAGTCATTTGTATAGACTATAAACTGTTTGACAGACCTCAGAGCTTCGAAACTTTAGCGCGTTTTTGTTATCAGTCGCGAGATGGCGTGACAGGCTCGTGTAGGGCGTGCTCTATAGGTTGCCGTCTCCACAAAGCGCCGCTTCTACGTAGCGGGGTCTCTCCTGCGCGCGCGCTTATGAACGGCACTTCGCACGCTGCCATGGCCGCGTTTAGAAAAGAGCGCACTGCTGACACGACGCGGAAAGAATTGTGATAGTTGTTTGCGCTTGTCCTGTGTATCTTGCGCGCTCGTTTCGCGCATCTTTCTATTTGAACAGCGTGCTGTAAGTGTCTAGCTGTGACAGTTATTAGTCCGCTCTCATACTGTGTATGCTAATTTTGTGAGTGCGTTTTGCTTGAGGTGTGTGCTGCAAGTTTCGAGCTGCTCGCCGTTCCTAAGCTGGCTTTGCAATGTGCTGCTGTTGCTGAAACAATGCACAATAAACGCTCAACTACCTTTGTAAAGACACGATTCACTTTCGTGTTATACCGATTCCTAATAGAGAAATCAGCCACGTTTTTTTTTAGTCATCTATCATAGTGAGCGGCAGGGGCTGTGGCCCATTGATTTTTCAAGAGATTTCTCACCTTGACACCATCGTTTTACGAAACGTCCACCGAGTGCCGTTTTGGGTAAACAGCGACCATCGGGAAGACCGAGAGGCTTAGAGACATAGGCGGGCGTACAAAAGGAGGGGGTAGGTTAGTCACATAAGAGGGGGGGGGAGCGTACAGTCTGTCCCATAGAGAGAGAGAGAGAATAAAATTTGGGAAAGGCAAGGAGGTTAACCAGAAATTGGAGCACCCGGTTTGCTACTCTGCATTAAGGGAAGGGAGAATGGGGAATAAAGATGGGAAAGAAAGCGAAGAGCGAAATTCAATAGGCCACTACCATGCAAAAAGTTCAATAGGCCTTCACTGATTTTCTCTGCGAAGACATTATGTCGTTTTTCAAGCACTGACTGTTCTGACAAGGGTCCATCGTCAAGGCCAGCTAACGCAGCAGCTAGCTGCCGTCTTTGCACGCTGTAAC